CACACACACACACCCCTGGCAACGAGCCTGGACCCAGTGGCACCAGTTTTGTAACAGTTAGAATGGCTCCTGGAAGAGAGCCAGATGGTCATAAGAGTAAAACACTTGTATACATGCTATATTTTACAGCTTTTATTTTCAGATTTGGACACAGACGACCCCTTCTCTTTGGCTCTATAATAACTGTATTTGCAACATTGGGTGAGTTTGCGCAGTTGATGTTAGTACAGTTTGAGACAATATCTGACTTCGGTCTTTGTGCTGACATTAATAAAAGGCGCCAAATTTGTTTTTGGAAATTTTACAACAGCAGCCTAATAACGTTACGATAAGATCGGATTAAATGCTTTTCATAACTTGAACTACTTCTTCTTTCAGGGTTTGCTTTCCTCAGTGGTATGCCGATGTTGATGCTGTCCCGCTCTCTTCAGGGGCTGGGGTGTAGTCTTACCACAGTAGCCGGTAAGGTTTAATGGCAGGTCGTGCACCTTTTGGGTGGGTGGGGGATTTTTTTTTTTTTTTTTTTTTTTTTGGAGAGGGGGTTAGGGGAATAATCGCAGAGCCACGTACACTTCTACGATATCATTTTTTTCTTAAAAGTGTTATAAAAAATAAAAACATAACATACCATAACATAATCCTTCTACTAACACCAAGTATACATGTAGGCCTATGTCTCTTTACCAGGTATAGCTATGCTGGCAGAGGTTTATACTGACGATAATGAGAGGTCTAAAGCCATGGCCAAAGCCTTCGGGGGGTATGCAGTGGGAGTCATGTGTAAGGAATTGAACCGAAATGTTAAAATAATATTTTTTTTGTCGGGCTGTATTGGGAGTTAATTCCCTTCAAACTTTCTCTCTCTTTCTCCAATTGTAGAACTTAATATGAAAAATCAAATAATGTGAAAATTTCAGTGAATTTGTATTTTTGTTTTTTTTTTCATTCACCAATTGGTGATGAAACAATATATAAAACGCCTTTTGATACAATGTTTTGACTGGCAATACGGCTTGAATTAAAGGAAACCTAAGTGGAAAAAGTCTCGTATTGTATACAGGTAAACCCACGTGTGCCATCCATAGCCCTATGTAATGTGGCATCGCCGCAGGTAGCCAATGTAGTCAGACAAAGCAAATGGCAAAATAATGACGTTAATGCCAGCAGTAAGAGGTTTAAAGCAGTTTAACCCCATAAAACAGACATTTTTAATTGTAATTTTGTTAAGTTAATAACTTGCAACCAAAATCAACATTCGTATAATTTTATGTCAATAAAACTTGCCGTTCATACATTTTAATTAAAATTTTCAGTTGGATTTCCATTCGGAAGTTTCACGTACCAGTTCTTTGGAAAGGAGATGCCGTTTTTAATTCTGGCATTTATTAACGTCCTAGATGCAAGTAAGTTCTAGCACACTTATTTTCTTCTCTGGGAGGTGTTTAAAATAGTAAAACTGATCATCAATTGCAATCGGTATCCTTGTAATTTGCCTGAGGTACTCCACATTGCATAATGAATCCTCACCTTATACTTATCTTCTTGACTCTTCTTTTTCATAGCTTTCTATATTAAATCTTTACAATGGAATTTAGATATACTTGACTTGTACGTATACTGTACATGTACACGGAAATCGTTGCACCCTAAACAAGTATTTACATGAACGTGTATATGTCACTGATATATAAAGCGATAATATAGATTGATGGTGAGGTGAACTGAAAGTTGATTATTTTGTGTAAAGTAGGCCTTATTGTTTTATTTCCTTTTTTTCAGTTTTCCGTGTAATAATTGTAGCCCCTGAAAAACTGGTAGGTATCTCCAATAACCCTATCGAATGATAAAATGTTAATGATATGATAAATCGTGAACGCAAAAAATGCTCATTCTAGGGAAATAAATTCAACAGCTATATTTGAATTGATAGATTTTATTTAGGCACAATGAATTATTATTCGAGTCATAGGCAGGCATGGAGGGGTGATGTGTGTTCTTGACAGCGTGCGCGTGCGTGCTTGTGTTTGGCGGGGTTGGAAGAAAATTCGAATTACACGTTGACTTTTAGAATTCAGACAACAATATTTCAAAACTATTAGGCTCAAACGCAAGTGAACATACATTTCCCTAGTAATTCTGTACTTGTGTTTTTGGTCCTCCAGGTTCAGCCGTCTTCTCTCGGTGCTTGGAAAGACTACAAGGAGCTGCTAACAGACCCATACCTAATTCTTGGTTTCGGTAAGAACGCCATCAAACCATTTTAAGTAACCTGTGGAATTACATAAGTCCCGCATTCATTAGTTCTGTCAAAAATATTTTAACGCCACTACAAGTGAAAATAATAACAACTGGGTATTAGTTAGAGTTTATGAAATAGTTTGCCGCTGAAGCGCTTGATAGCGATGTCGTCTTATATATCCTACATAACTGCCAAATAATTGCACTGACCACTAGCACTTTATTTTTTGCTAGGCTACACAATCATGTACACCCTGGGTATAGGAGCGAGTCTGGCTATAGTATCACCCTGGATATTAGAAGAACAGCTTGCGCGAGTGTGGGAGATAGGTAAGCTGAGCGTGTTTCACAGGGCGATGCCCCATTGTGTAAGCTTACTTTGCAATAATCGCAATTCGTACGTTTATCCTAAAAGCTACAAATTCGTTTCAAGAAATTTAAGAGTTTAGGGCCTAATTTGGAACAGACGTTTGGATGCATTGATTTGGCTGAACGAAAATGGTGACGTTGCATCACCCTACCCAGTATTTAGCGCTATGGGTTGATATTATCAAAATCCATTTCAATGGGTATTTCACTTTAATTAATGAATCTTTGCACCTTAACCAACAAGCCATTCAACCGTAAACCATACAGAATGGTTTCAAGATGGCAACTAAGCGTATTGTTTTGTCAAATTGTAGGTGGCGTATTTTTAGTAGCAGCCATACTACAGCTAGGGGCGCAGTTTATTTATGGGCTAGTGGCAAGAAAACAATGGTGGCAAGTATCTTTGGCTCATTTTTTAAAAAGCGTTGTGTTAAGAATGACATTCCACTAGGAATCTTAGACATTTTCCCTTCTCGTTATACTTTGTATATTTGAGATTATACTTTGTACATGTGAATGCCCCTTACAATGCAATTTTAGACAAATGAGCAGTATTAAAAACGACATGTGCACGTTCATAACAACACGAGGATTCCAATTTTATCACATACCTTTGTTTGAATATGATATAACAGCAGCACTGCTGAAATGTTTGCCGGAAAACCAAGGAAAAGTTCGACATGTGATGAATAAAAAATGAATCGTTTATTCCAGGTGGATGTTTGCAGCACTGGGGCTACTTTTTAACGCGGCAGGGTATATATGGGTGAGTGGCAAAATATTACAGCGCATATACCGTGAACCTATTTTATAATTAATTTTTTTCAAGAAGAATTAATGCGAAAGCAATGGTAATCCGCTGGGAACCTTTCCAATAACTTTGTACAATTGACATTTGGCTCACATACTCTAAACAGTACTTGGGGATAACCCTATGCTACAAAACTAAAACGACCAGAGAACAGTCTCATAATGTGTTATATCAAAGACATGTACGCTGAACATATACATACATACATACATACATACTTATTCATAAGCCGTTACCATCGGTTAACTAAAGAATACAGCGGTGAAAATATGCTTTCCCTTGCTTGCACGCACATAATTAAAACTTGCACATTAATGAGGATGTTTCACATTCCAGTACCCGTTCTCTAGCTCGGTGTGGGAAGACATCGGTCCTCAAGGCCTGATATACATAGGTTACGGGTTTGCCAACACTGTGATAGCTCCTATTATGGGCGACCTGGTGGAGATACGACACAGGTCCGAGTATGGGCAGGTGTACGGCCTAACCAGTGGGTTTTACTCTCTGGGGTTTATCACAGGTAGATGTATATGTACATCGCTTTTTTAAAGTGCCCATTTTTTTCATACGGTAACGTTACGCTAAGGCAAGCTTCTTACGATTGACCATATTTACTTGCAGAAGCCTAAACATGGGGAAGCCGAACGCTGTGTTACATGTATACTCAGTAAACACAAAACGTTACTTTGACGTTACCATAACGTTGATATAACCAAAAAACGCTATGGTATCGTTATAGTGTTTGCTGGGTAATTTCTAGTGTGCACGTTCATTCTAGTACTTCGGTTTTTGGCTGTGTAGATATGAATGAATTACCTGTTTTAATTAATAAAAACGCCTATGTAAATGACAACCCGTTTCACATTTAACCTGAATAATGGGTGATGGTTACTTACGCTGATTATTTCGTATATGACTCTTATATATATATTTCCCCTAAATTTGTGAAAAATAGTTAAAAAATATTCCAGGCACTGTTGGAGCCGGTGTTCTTGTAAGCCTGACGTCATTCGACTGGTAAATAAATATTATACACGTTTCTTTTTTTCTGGTATTTCGCCCGTCAATTTGAATTTCTGTTTTTTTTTTTTTTTGTTTTTTTTTTATCAAATAAAACCAATTAACATTAGGCGGATCCAATTAAGCGTACATGATCTTGACCAGCGTAGTTAAAAGAGTAACGCTGTAGCCAAAATGATAATAATTCAGTTGTTTCTGCCGACTTGTACTTGTCAATAACCTATTGTTTATTTTATTTTCAGGGTCTGTCTTGGTATAGCTATAATTACCGTACTTTACTGCTGTACATGTGTCTTTTTCCGTAACCCACAGCGTAAAAATATAGATCCACTGGTAAGCCATTACTTGCATCCAAAATGCGTGCGCCAATAAATATACGTATCTCTATGAATATATATATGTATATATATATTCTTTATTTATCTATTCTGTTTAACCTTTAAGTTAAAACTCGTTGTTCGACACAGTTTAACTACAATGGCGTCTGTTCATTTTAGGATACGGACATTAGCAAGCTGGTTAACAACTTGGGAATGAATGACTACGGGGCCAATCACTTTGACTAGGAACCACCAAGTCCTTGATTGTGATCCTGTTGTTCATTGCCGTCGTTGCTCATCGTGGGTGTGCTAGACAGAACAACAACTCGATCAGGTCCTTTTTACATCGAGCAGTACGGTTTCCGCGTCGCTGCAATTTAAGAGATTGATAACTCAATAGCCTGGTCCTGTTTTCATTTAACAAAATGACACGATTAGTTTATTGGATTAACTTTGATTGGCACATTGGGGCTCGTGAGAGGGTGCATATGTAAAACTACGCCAACGGAAAACTAGAGCTGTACAGTCAACCGTGCTCAACTGAAAGTCAACACATGAGCTTCGTGCGGAGTCTGTGGCATATCTTTTACTTTTGCGCCGTGTGTTTTGCAGTTTTTAGTCCGTTCACATTAGAAAAATTAACCGCGACATAACTGCAGTTACCCGTAAACTGTGTTTGTAAAATTCAACAAATGCGAACGGTACTGTATTTACGACATAAATAGTCACTATGAATTCGTTTGTATACGAATCCCACAATGGGAGAAAGTTGCGGAGTAGGGAAGGAAAAAGAGTTTGGGAGGCGGGCGTTATACTGTACATCTAGAAGACCTAATCATATTCAGACCAATCAACAAAACCTGTCATATATTTCCTTAGATGTTCTATGTGCTGATTATCATTACACTGCGGCAGAAACTGTAGCTTCTACAGCTACCGCACTTATTTATTTATAATCATTATGGTTCCCGTTTTTAGTCTGCTGAGATTAATTTTCTAGGTTTTCGGATTAGTCATATCGATAGAAATGTTCTTTAAATTCATGATTTAAGTGTCATTATGCAATAACAGCTAACGCAATTTACAACTCTCATTTCAATATCCAAATATATGTAGAGTCTTGTCTCATTTCAATATCCAAATATATGTAGTGCATGTGTCCTGTCACGTAACTTGTCCAGAGGCCAGTGTGAAGTCTTCCACCTCAAAAAAAAAAAAAAAAAAAAAAAAAAAAAAAAAAAAAATGCTACACTGGTACTTCAAAGTATCTCTGATATTCCAATTCTTTCATAATTAAATTAAAAAATTCAAATAGTAAAAGTTATCAATATTTCTTAAAAAGGAGCAAAAATTGGCTACCATCTTGAATTTACTGCCATCTTGGAAATTTGTTTAACTTTCCTCGGGACTGAAGACTAAGATTATATATCTTTAAGCTGACGCTGTATAATCCTGAACATATTTTGTCCAAAATAGGCTTATCACACAGTCATATTTATTTTCGACACAAAGGGAAATTTTCTGATGCTTCTAAAACTGCAGTAAACAGTTATGTGGTTTCGCAAACGCATATGTGATAGTCGGGGATTTTGGGAGATTGGTCGTTTTGATTGGGTGACGGGAAAAAGTCCCAGTGCGCGTGCGTCATACCTGTAATTATGTGATAAAGAAAAACTACCGAGAGCTTTCTGCGCAGATATGTGCACGTAGCTATAGGCTGCTACGCTGTTAGAAAATCTTTTAGAAACAATTTTTTGACCAGTGGGATTACCCTTGGGAAGAACATATATATACTTAGCGCCAACCAGAGTTATTCAACGTAAGTACTTGCGTAAAGTAGGCCTACTTGTTTCCTGAACACTACAGTGACTGAAAGCAGAGGCCGCTTTGGGCATCCGAATGTGTAGCTGTCTTCTAGCCTGCGTGTGGTTGTCTGTAAATATAAGTATGTTAAAATATCCCTTTCATTAGCAAATCTGGAAAGCGTGCCTCAGTCTAGCGCACCTAGGTATTAACTACAAATGTAAATGTAGGCCTACATTGTTTCACCAATAGACAGCGAAATTTCTTGCAATTTATTTCAATGTGTAGGCCTACTCGTACACTTGCACCTCGCCACTTCACACTCAATGTGGAGAAGAGGATCGATATATGTATAAAGAACGGTGACTTGTACTGAGTAGGCCCATGAGGCCGGTAGGCCTACTCATATCACATGTCACGTTAATAAATAAATACTAAAAATAAGAAATCAGTAGGCCCCCTCTTTACGTCCTTAATTAACCATGGTTGTAGGTTCTGTCATTGAATTCGGTAATGTTGTGGTTTAATCAGTTTAATCACCGAAAATTCCCGCATGTTTATTTGTTTTTTTGTTGCGCATGCGCAGACTAGCATATATATAAGGGAAATCCCCTTGGATTACCTGAGATTACGGGGGTGGGGGTGGGGGGGTGGGGTTCTTAAAAGCGGAACATTTCATTTGATTGACAAAATAAAGTGGGTTATCTTTTCACCTTCGAGGTCTGGTTGTTTTATAAATGCCAGCACTTGAAAAGGAAATTTCTTTGGCAAAACCACGGCGAGGGGAAATTCCTTAAAAGCAGAAATTTTTAATGTTATTGAAAAATGTAGATTTGAGTGGGGAATTTTCCATGTTGGGTAATTTTGTGGATTACTCCTCCATGGTCTGGCTGTCAAAGTTCACTTCAAAACTGTTTATCTCCTATAACATGATCTGCTGGGGGTAATGTATCGGCCACAGTAGGTGGTATATAGAACTCCTTGGTTGGTGACATTTAAGTGAGGCGCCTGAATTGGGGTGACTATTTCAGTTTTCTAGTAATTAGAAATGTAAAAGCTCCTATGACATAACATATATCAGTGTTAAAAGAAATCAAAACACATTTATTTCCCTTTCTTAGCAGCAGAACACTCTAAACACGCCCTTAATTCTCTCCATTTCTAACATAAAAAGTGGTTGACGTCACATTTCCCGAGGCTGTATGCCCTATTTTTACTGCCCGTGGCACTTATGCTCATAGCGCATGCAGACTGAATGACTTCTGAACAATGAAAAGAGTATTGTCGTCAAACTCTGAACGCTAGCATGCTAATCATCTGTGACACTGAAAACAGAACCTACCCTCGTCAGTGGGTTAGATGTCTGGGACGCCTACTAAAGCTGCTAAACGATAGTTTATTACCCCCTATAGCTATCAGCTTCAGTAGGCGTGACAGACATCTAAGCCGCTTAAATTATATGCAATTATGTGAGGATCCTCTTGGAGATAGTTCGCCCCAAAGTTAGTAGGGTCTGAGAATGGTCTCAATGATATAGCGAGTGAGCAAGTGTCTCGATTCCATGGCCCCGTATCTCGAAATAAAATCGGTTATGGAATCGAGACACTAACACACGTGCGCAACATAGCGAACCTTTCGAGATACGGAGCCCTGGTTGTTTGAAACTATATTCACTGAGTGGCAACATTACTGCACACAAAAATGACTCAAAAAACAGTGTCACCTGGATTGCACATCTGCGATGAAACACTGAAACCAGCACATTAGAACTAGGAAAAAAATATACACACAGTAAGTACGGGTACATGTTCCTAGGGGCCAGTCTCAAAACAGTTCGTAAATTCACAGTCAAATGTACATTGTTCGCTTTATATTGGCTGTATAAGGAGTTCGCATTATAACTGCGTCGCCATGTTTTATGCAAGTGCCCATCGAACCTACAAATACCTGTATCTACGGCTTAAAACACGACCATTTAAAGTAATTTATGGCAGTGTAAAGTTGTTCCACCATCCCACACTACCCAGACTCCCCTTTCCAAATTGCCCCCTCCCCTTTCATTGACTGCCAGTGCTGCAAGCTTTACCACAGTGGTACATGTAGTAAAAAGATGTCGATTTCCAGCCCCTTGTTTGAATAGTTTTTGGAGGTGCAGAAAGTTTAGAATATTCTGGGATTGAGTAAAATGCTAAGTCATTATTGTTATTTTTTAGTCATTGCGAGTGTCAAGTTTGGACAAACCCATTTTTTCTGATGCAGGAGAAATGTCTGGAATTCAATCCTAGAATATTCTGGAACTTTCCACTCCACCAAAAACCATTTAAAAAGGGGTTGGAAATCGACATCTTTTTACTCCTAACAGTTTTGAAGTAATATTTTGGAAGCGTGAAATTGAGGCTCATCTAGGAGCGAAGAATAAATAAATGAATGAATGAATAAATTGATAAATTTATGTTAAAAATCAAGATGTCTTCTTCCTATTTCTCTGAAAAAATGACATCAAAAGAAAATGAATTTTACTGAAGAAATGTAGGGATACACCATGTATGATAATTCAATCTAGAAAATGAGACAAAATTGGTCAGACCGTGTTAAAGTGAAGTCAAGGGGAAAGAATCTTATTAAGATTACATGTGAAATTAGACCCCATCCCCAGAGATTAGATCGATAAAAACTAGATCGACCTAACTCCCTGGGGGTTCACGCTAAATAGCTGTCTGCCGAGCGGGCACGAAATTTAATTACCCCCTTACAGCTTGTAGTAGGCGGGACGGACATTTAAGTCGGATTATCTGACAGTAATCTATTGATACTCCCCACGGGGATAGATCGATCTAAAATCTATTGGAATACGCCCTTATATTTACTACAACTTTCGTGTGCATCTACATTGGTTTTATTAAAATATGTTTCAGGTGTAAGACGGGCAACCATGCTGTGGAGAATTGAGAAGCAACTCTGGGTGTATGTGACAGATTGCGAAAGGAAACTCGCCCATGTTGATATAACAAAGGAAGACGCTGTGAAGCGACTGAGAGAGCTGGCGGACGAAATAGAAAAGCAGCAGCGGAAAATGGACATCGCTAAGGTCACGGCCGCATCATCAGGTTTAGTTGGCGGCGGACTTGTCCTCGCGGGTTTAGGGTTGGCTTTCTTTACATTTGGTGCTTCACTCGTGGTATCAGCTGTGGGCACCATAGTAGGAGGTACTTCGGTGCTGACCACGACCGCGACAAATATCGCCGAGTTTGTGATTAACAGCAAAACGATGAAAAGGGCACAGGAGGCAATCCAAATGTACAATAAATCCTTCAATGCAGCCTCAGCATCTATATTCACACTAAATAATTTTGTAGCGGATAATAAATTAAACACTCAAAATCTGGCGAACAAATTAATTGATAAAATTATATATCTGTTCAATCACCCAGTTTCGGCACTGGTTATTCGTCCAATTTGTTCCTCTGCGGTGACTGGTTACGGTGCAGTGACAACCATGAAGGATGCCGTTTCTAAAGGATCCATGACAGTGTCAGAAGCCGGGGGGCCCTTAATAAATGTTAGCACATTAACGCCTGTTCAGACACTAACTAAAGTGGTTGGGGCAGCAGGTGCGCTTATTGGCATTGGTTTAGATTTGAAGGAACTGGTGGAAACGTCTATAAAACTGCACAATAAGAAACACTCAGCAGTAGCGCGCCTACTACGTGTCAAGGCAGACACTTTGGAAGCTTCTTATTCAGTATAAGAAATAAAACAAGGAGAGTGATAAATAATAGTAACCGAAATTATTTCACTGTCGAAAAGGTATCATTACCAAAAATGTCTTCAGTGCCCTTCAATGATAGTTAATGAGCATATATTTTTCGCTCTCCAAAAATATATAATCCCCATAGATCACAGCTTTATTTGTAAAATTTGTATTCGACACTGATAAAAACCATTATTATTTGGACACAGAGTTATACGCACTATTAATAATGCATGGATTTAAGAATCGTTAATATTTTATGCATTCATAAGGCTCATGTCGCATTATTTTTATAGTGGAATTAATTGGGCAACAATGTCCGCCTCCCACTAAAATGTAATTTAATTAAGAATATAACTTTGTTAATCTCTTTACGTTCGTTTAACATACATCTTCATGAAAATTTTCATTTGCATAGACCTCTTTCTGAAAGTTTTTTCCTTTTTGGGGGTTGACTTTCACAAGTAGAGTAAACTTAGACATTTACAGACAGAATTTAAGTGCAGTTTCAGATTGTCTTCATATATTGTTGATAATTTACAGTTTAGAATTGCAATGAATAGCAATTATCACATATTGTCATATTTATATTTAAGTATACAGTAACGTGTGATACCAGCACCTATAATAAAGATGGGTATTAAAAAACATTTTTTGAAGTTTGTATTGCGAATGCGAGCTTTGAGGGTGCTACGTTGCTAGGATATTTTTCACCAGAGGTCTTCTACCTGTTACAAAAGTGTATATTGATTACAAGTATGTTTTATAAATTGTTTGAAAAATCTAGATAACATACTCTGCTTTGATGTTTATTGATTGGAAACAAAGCATTGGAGACTA